AACCGGTAACCTAAGCCCCGGGACTTGGAGTGGCGAACCACATAAGGCCCCACTAGGTTAGGCGTGTTATTAAACCGGACGACAGCAAAGCTGCCTACCTGCCTATTTATAAAACTATTCTCAAGGAACTCACCACATTTTGGGCAATATGCGTTTACTTTTATGGTACACTAGATAGTGGTCAATTGAGAAGAAACGTTTCATATTCAGAAGAGACAAGAAGTTCAATGCCCAGTTATTCTGACAACTAAATGGAAGTGGGAATCTAATTTTGGTTTATGATTTCATCTAACTTGTTGGCTATGATAAGTTCGTGATACACTGGTGAAACCGTGTTTCGGTTGGTGACTGACAGGTTGCTCAAGCCAACGTAAGTGAATTTCCTTGAGGAATTAACAACTGGAGCCTTCACCTAGCCCGAGCCTGACCCGCAAGACAGCAAATTGGTGCTTAAAATTGCAATCTATGAGAGAGCTGCTATATAGTTCATTAGATCATACCCCTTAGGGTGACGTGAAACGTTACATACATACGATACATAATCGAAAAGATAAACACTATCAAAACCAGAAAATTTTGGTTTATTCGCCTCTTTGTTGTTTTGAATTAGGTTTTTTAGCCAGCTCTTTGGTGAACTGCCAATGGTTCACTGATCATGTCATGGTTCGCATTTCAGTTCAGTTTTTACAGCCATTAACCATGCACTTCCGTGCGCCGGTTTTGGTTTCTGTCTTTTGGTGCCCCATTTGGATAAAAAAGTCAGATGAAGATTGGAATGTTGAAAGCAAATTCAAACGGTGGTTGGAGAATTCATATAGAATGGTGTTGGGGGAATAATGAGTGGATGACGAGCGCGCACCCTTCCGACACGTAAAGGCAATGAGTAGGACTTCCTAAGTAGAGGCTTGGTCCTATAAGAGCATTTTTTGAGGCGTAAGGAAAGATCGACCAGCCACAAACCGAGGCACCCACCGACAATACCAAGGCTTTAGTATGTACATATTGAATACCAGTACCGGGGTGGCCCGGTGGTAACGTCACCAAATTATCACCCCGGGGATGTGTTCGAATCTCACCACCACCGCCTGACTTTACCCATTGTGTGTTGAATGGCAGCCCTTTGATTGACCGCTTCTCCCTTCCTGAAAGTTGTACCATTGCATATTCAATAAAAGGAAGTGAAAGAAAAAGATAAAACCATTCTAGAACAAGTGTTTCCGAGACAACATACATCCAAATTGAGTGTTTCAAGGGTTTCAAGGCAGCTTGTTGACCGAACTGGTAGTGTGCGGACGTTGAACGCTTCAAGAATCATGTAACTACTGACTGTTTGGCCCTATTGGTAAAACGCTGGGTGATATCCGATGGATGGCGCAAACAGAAGACCTCTGGGATCATTCGGGATTAAGGGGAAGAACTGAATAGATGAAAAAGAGATCTTTCCAAATGAGTGCTTAGGACTTTAGGACACGACATACTTCGCGGTGGTCCACACTGACGAACGGGTTTTTCTTTGGAAACATTAACCGGAACCTTATACTCAAAAGTTTGACCCAAAAAGCAATGGGACGTAGATCCAACGCAGGAGCGTGACTGGAGCACCCTTGTGGTAGAGACATGTCACGCAAGACCTTCGGATTACGGTTCAGCGTATTGTTCGCTGATGCGTTGATTGCCGATCTGCTGTTCGGAATCTTCCCTTAGCCTCTCTGTTCCAGTGAGATAAGTGAAACGTGGACGGGACACTACTTTATTGGCTGGGGACTTCCCAGCTTGGGCACAGAGTAGCTGCCCAACGAAGTGTGAAGACTTCTCTCACCATGGAGTGGAAGCCTCACGTACCCCACTCCTACATCCAATTTCGGTATCTTGACCGGAGAACTGTCCCTCCCCGTGTTTATTGTGACCTCTCCAGAGGCTAGAGTGAATAGCCAAAGGAAGCCACGAGGTGCCCAGACAGCCCAGGTTGCATAATGTTGACCTGTTTATGAATCCTACATAGATAGACAGACAGACAGATAGATAGATAAATAGATAGATAGATCGGTAGATCGATAGACTAAAATACCAATTTCTCTGTGCAATTTTCATTGTTCGTATAAATGACGTTTTTGATGAGCACATTGAAATTGCCTTCAATGCGAGAAGGTTAAACCTCCTTCCGATGTCGATGCACAAACAAGCTAACCATACCATTTCACAGAAATCCTACAGATCGATGGACATTTAAGTAAAACATAGACCTGTTGCATAAATATAAAACGAAGTGGGTAATGAACGCCAAGAATTGTATTCAACTTCCATTTTGCTCCCTGACCTCCAAATTAACGCATCACCCATTCACTTCTTTTCGAACTAAAGCTACTGCGACAAACGAGGCAAAACATGTCTGTTTGATCAACACCCTGGGGGCGAAAAACACGGTTGCCTATCCCAGATCTGCCCTGTGCATATATATTCCGTAAGCATCAGACAAAACTCTAATGGAAGAAACTAGTTACCACAGTGGGCTTCAATCCGTAATTATGACAACCCATAATTATACCTCGAAGGCTCTGAGTGGCATACTACTGCGGCGTGTAATTCAGCGATTTCCTAAAGACTCCCAAGTCTAGGAAATTATAATTTAGGATCTCATTTACCCATTGAATTTTTCTTTCTGATAGATGATAATTTTGTTGAGCATCTTATATGTATGAAAAGAGAGAGCGAGACTGAGTTTCGTTTCACGGTCTGTCTCTGTGCTTATGATTACTCATTATTCACTGTTCATTTCAGGGGAACCAAACTTGCTGAAGTTAAATTTTGTGCATTGACCCTGGTATCCGGGATTCGTATTGTATGTTAAAAATATAGGCTTTCACGTTGAGAAAATGAGCAACTTACGGATGAACGACAGGTTTAATTTCCCAGTCTGTTTTACTACATTATTCGTCGAGAAAGCACTGTTTGAGTTCAATACACCGACCCGAATTGAAAAAAGGTCCTCCTTTCATCATCTGTTCGATTTTCAACGCACTCTATTTTCAGCTAGTCTATCGGAATTGCGATATTTGCGCTTGCGAAGATGTGTTCATGTGGACGACCACTGTCTATCTCGTGTTGGAAGAATTAGCACACTTCAGCTACTTGATGTCGGAGAGTGCCCGCGGTTAACGTCGAAGGGAATAGCCACACTTTCACAGCTGAAGTGAGTATGATGTTCTTATTCAAATATCAAGTAGTACGTGAAATAGCATCCGCTTTGTTCGCTACACCTATTTGAAATGCGTCCCGGATTCGATCCCCAGTTGGGTCAATGGATTCGCACTGCCAGTGAGCCCCGACCAAGTCGAAACAGCTGTCCAGTGCTTCCTAGCTTTTCAGTTCACGCTTCATTTGCTCTGTACACGACGAATTCCCTTATAAAATGCGTATGAGCCCATCTCACGAAATTATCACCGTCACTCAGTTAAAATAAAAATTGATATGCACTGTTTTTTTTAAATTATTGTCAAGTAAGGTGTAATGAATTTTCTCATTTGTCTCTTGAAGTCAACACAGGTTCAAAATTAGCCCACTTCGTTTCTACTAAACTAAATTTAAGGTCAACATCACAGTAATCAATACTAAGTTTAGGAACAAATAATCAGCCCAATCAGGTCCTTAATGATCTACACTCAGTGTCCGTAATTTCATTTAAACTTCAAATAATTTAAGAGATGCATTGACTACGATGCTCAACAAAATTATCATCTATCAGAAAGAAAAATTCAATGGGTAAATGAGATCCTAAATTATAATTTCCTAGACTTGGGAGTCTTTAGGAAATCGCTGAATTACACGCCGCAGTAGTATGCCACTCAGAGCCTTCGGGGTAAAATTATGGGTTGTCATAATTACGGATTGAAGCCCACTGTGGTAACTAGTTTCTTCCATTACTGTTTTGTCTGGTGCTCAGACAATAATGGTAAAAGGATAAATCAAATTATTTACTCTCAGGAATTGCTGATTAGAACACGGTTTTTATCTAACCGTTTACCCTAACAAATTATCCGAATGTAGGCTATCTACCGAGGAAAAGGCTGTAGCAATCGGTCTGTATAGATACTTTAACCACGGAACAGTATGTGCGGGAAGTCATAGTTTTAATTTAAATTTCGACCAAATGTCACGAGTGTTTTGTGCTTCTTCGAATCCCTTCCCGTAGCAGAATTTATCTACTAAGGTTCACAGTTCGCTGAACCACAGGATTTGAAAGGGTTCAATGGATAAACCCTCTTGCAATCGTGTATAGGTAACATATACATTGCACACTTGTCGCATGTTATCCACATTAAATCTGAAAACGGGTTAACTTTCATGTACTTTGTACTGTTACTTACTGGTAGCCAACAAAGTTCATCGGGTCGGTTAACATCACCTAGGCAAACGTCAAGTGATTGAGTGTTTTGGTCAGACATTCGCTGTCACACCGAATTCACACTTAGCCTTTGTTGGTTATAAAATGCGTGCATACACATAGCACGCTTCTCCCTTATTCAACGCAATTTTCTGGAGCTTTTAATAAATGCTAGCACTGTTTTATACTAGTTTTTTATTGCAGATCCTCTCGCGGGAAAATATTCATTGATAGACGAGCAAGCGCAACAGGATCTCAAATGGAATACAGCCTTAACGTACCGCCAGTAGATCTCCGATAAAAACGTGCCTCGGTTTGAGTACCATAGCAGTATCAGACTTAAGAACAAATCATGCATCATTTTTTATCCCTTCAAGATTCGTATATCGTCACAGTTTGAAATCAGACCGATATGAAACGTAAAAATAATACCGCCCTGTAGCCTGCTTGCAGTTTTCGTTCCAGGTTACTNGACAAACTATGAATAGTTACGCGGAGAGTTTAGGAATCACTGGTTCTATCGCGCTGTTAAAAATTTGTGTTCGATCGGAAAACATTACATATATGCGTACCACCTCTGAGCCACGTGTTAACAAGAATGTGGACAAGTTGGCGACGATTTCCCTCAGCACCGAAATCTCCGGTCAAGGCTTGTGACTTTCGGATTNTTGTCTCAGCTCCTAAAGTCGCCAATAAATCAGTGTGCATAAATCCCCGCACCACAGTCATCTATCGCAACACGGACAAGACCTCGGCGGGTTAGCTACATCACTCCAACCAGCTCCTAAACATTCGCATACATACACAAGTAATACCACCTTACCCTACTCTACGACCTCTGGGTTACATAACCAATCACAAACACCAACAGCACAAAAAAACCACTGACCCAACCCCCGTGTTGACTACTACCAAACAGAATGCCCTCTATCGTTATAGTCAACAGTCCCGTTTGAAATGCTCCATAACTTGTAAAATGTGACCCACAAGGTCATATTCACCGTGATAAAATTGAAATGTAGGCCTTATGCCTACAGAAGTTATTACAATACAATACGTCACGAGATCCACCGTTGGCGTACTGAGATCCAGTATGTTCGTGCGTGCTGCTCACGACTGCTTATCTCGAACTTTCGCTGATATAGAATTCAGTCCCAATTGGTACTGGAGGTTCCGAAAGTTGCCTCTTTCAATCGTAAATCTACGAATTCCGTCATCATCTTCGCTAACATGTTCTACCCCTGGGTACTGTTATGTATCCGTTGAACACCGATACACGTACACGCATCAAACTCACGACGCTACCAAATCGGTCAGAGGATTTACTTACAGGACACGACTTTTCTAATCTTCACGATAAAATCGAAATCCTCTTCGCTGACCAAGTCAGTATCTATTGATTGTTTAGTCTGGTCACGAATTGCTTTATTTATCCTAATGAATGAGTTTTCAGCTTCGACAGTCATCAAAGTCAAATCTCCGCTGACATTTGCTAATTCGTTTGGAGAATACAGGCCTGTCATTGCCAAATCACAGCACCACTCAATAGATGATGCACAGTTTATAGGTTCTAAAGTTAGCCGTTCATTAAACATGGCGGGTGCGGACGTTTGTGAGGAATACCCAGTGAAACTACCAATCACGTTAACTACCTGAGTGATCATCTTCCAGCATACCGTTTTGTTTCCCTTCACCTAAGTAGGTTCGACCACGGCATGCTTTATGAATTCATGTTTATTTTATATACCTTGTGTATTTTGTGATATTGACAAGTTCACGGGGGTTAATTTTTTTGTCGAGCGGTTTCTCAGTATCCGTTCAAGAGACACATTTCTATGTTCCGGATCGATTGATGAGCACCACGTTTCTCCTTTTTCAATTCACATCAGAAATCTGAGGCGTCTACTTGTTCAAGGAAATCCTCAGATGGAAGACAAGGAGCTTGTCTGTTTGATGCTTGAAGATCATTTACCTCATCTGTACATCCACGGTGTGGAATACTTGAGGCAACTCCCTGAAGAATCACGACAGAAAATCGTCGCCATGATTAGCGCCGGAGCAGAACCTGAGATAGCACAGTCGGATTCCTCGAGTCAGACCTTCGTACCACCCAATTCTGCTGAAACACAGGAACCGATGAATGCGGAAACGGGAAACAATCAACTGCGCAGGAGCTCCACTCAGTAGTCCTCATTTTGTCACAATCACATGACTGTGTGATATGCGTCTATTCCTTGGTTTCCACAAAACATTTTAGATTACATTCTTTTTCAATTTTTATTAAGTCAAAGAGAGAAGATCAACTGTGTATCACAGAATGTTGGCTTTCAATTCAATGCCTCTGTCACTGCAGCTTCATTTTTGGCTACCTCGACCAGCTTCACAGTTCCTTCGAGCTTCTCGATTGTATCTTGACTCACACCCCACAACATCTTCGTCTGAAACAACAGAGCACAGACATAGGCAAATACTATTAGAAAATTGACAACAAACAGGTTCAGAAAAGGAATCCACTAAAGCTGTGCACATAATGACGAGCTAGTTAGTAGTTGGAAAAACACCCAGGCAATCTTCACGAACAACCCACTCTTCTAACGTGTTTTATCTTATGTTTTCAACCCTTTTTTGTTCCGCTATGTACAGTGTTTTCACCTTGCGTTTTTCGGATTGGTTCTCAAATGCACACATATTTCCCACGAAAGTTCTAAGCGTTTGCATCGGTTTTCCCATCCATATAGCCTCCAAAGGCACCATATTGGTGGGACTGTTTGAGCAGACCGTGTTCATAGTACGTGAGGAGTGTTGTTCAGAAATACCGCAGTCTAGTTTGATGTAGCTAAATGCTGACCTTTTCTCGCAATTACCGGGAATTCACACTCTCCCGACATCGAATCAGGATGCAATCTATCCACATAAATTCCATTAGTCTAGAATGCCTCTCTCTCAAGAGCCGACTCATCAAGATTTATGGGCACTTGTAAATCCCACTGCCGTGGTTGAAAAGTTGAAGTGACTAAATGAATTGAACCTAACAGCTCTCTACCACGTACGACATAAGACGCCAAAAACTGCATTTTTAATGAACGGGAACGCAAGTAACTGACCGTGTAAATAGCAGGGCACACATGATGCAACACGCGGGTAATTCCCTAGTGTTCACTGACTGTGAACTAATTATAGTGACTCCGCGAGTCACTTATATAGCCTACAGTCTATATGCATACTTGACTACGTGTAATATTTGACACAGAACCATGTGGTATTTAAGTATGCGGTCCGATGGTTTTGTTTACTGTTGAACGCTTTTAATAATATATCTACGAGAACCAGAGCTCTCACGAAGTGGAAGACCACTCCAGACGAAGAGCACACAGTACATCGATAATAGGATGCTCAGTTCAGTTCAGTTTTTACAACCATTAACCATGCTTTTGAATAATGATAATAATGGATGAAGATTGAAATGTTGAAAGCCAATAGAAGCAGGAGATAGAGAATTCACATAGACTGGTGTTAAGAGAATGAGCGCCACTGTTAACGACACCCAGCCATGTCGCTCAGTGTCTCTAAACATCGATTACCTTGATCGTGGGGTCCCCAGTCAGGGAGCCTGACGGGACCTATGTGACCCAGTGTCTTGGTTAGGGTTTCCATACTCATGCCAGGTCTTCGTTTGACCACCCTTGATATTTTTCCAACCACGCCCTGCCTCGGCAATCATCGCTCGCCGTGGCAACCTATCTGGTGACATGCGTAACACATGTCCCAACCAACGTAATCCATTGAGATCGACTACCTGCTCCAGTGGATGTTCGTGACTACCTAAAAATTTACGC